TTAAAGCATTTTAAAACAAAAGTCTTAAATCAGAGGTTCTCGGAGTTTTGTTTATGTGACTGAGTGCCATTTTAGTGACCTAGCTAATGACTGAAGGCCATACAGGAAAAATTAAACTCTATGACATGACATTTTTAATGACTTTTTTAAATGACATTTTTTATGGCACAATAACACTGTACAAAAACTACAACAATGAACAATGGTATAGCCTACCCAACACTCATATTACGGTCTAGTTTCCCACTTTTTAATACATTTGAAAGAAATGAAACCGTCCCTACAGTGTTCTGTAGGCAACTATATTGCAATTTAGTTGCAATGTTGCTGCTTGCGATCACCGCAGGTCAGTTGTTGCTGCCGTTCGAAGCAATGCTAAAGTAGCATCTCACTGAACTGGTCTCATCTTGCTCTCTCTGCCTGGTTAGCACGAGCTAACACAATGGGAGCAGCTAACATCCGATGACAATCTCACACTGACACTGAAATAGCTTCTGTAGTTGATTCTGTAGTTGAACCTGTTAATAACTGTTGGGTAATGTTAGCTGTATGATGCTAATGATTAGCCCTGCCCCTGTGTGTGTAACAGTAGTCTCATGAGAGGCAGGGGCTGACCGAATCAAAACACCGCTCGCAGCTCTGCAATGAAATTAGATTCTACCCATTTCAGACAAATAAAACTGTGGTAAAATTGCGCTGACTGGACAAAACTGCAAGGCTAACAGGAATTGGATGAATTTGTGTTAACTGGTGTGATTGCAACAACTCAACATCCTGGAGGGACTGATGAAAGAGAGAGACAGTAGAATGATTGACATGCCTAATCCCAGCTGTCAAGTTGTGGTACGGTAACACCACTTGCACAAACCACGCGTAGAGTTGCATTACATTTGCTGATGATTATGTAGGACAGTGTTGCATGGTTGCTTGTTACAGCATGTGCCACCCCCGGCCTTCAGATATATATTATGATTACTGCTTTGTGTTAGGCCAGGGGTGTCCAAACTTTTTTGAATGGGGGCCAGATAAAACAACATGAAAATACCTGGGGGGCCAACTGATTCTCGCATCAGATGGGTTTAAAAAAAAAAGAAAGAAATAAAGTGAGACAAATGCAACCATTTTTATCTTTTAATAAACTATTACTACGTGATGCCTGTCTACATAGTCCTTTCATTGTGAGGTGAAGGGTAAAAATGTGAAGTGATCTTGCTTGATTAACCATTATTGTGTAAAGGGCCACATATGGTATATTTTGAAAGTCAAGCCGAGGGCCGATTAAAATTGGTCTGCGGGCCACAATAGGCCCCCGGGCCAAACTTTGGACATGCCTGTGTTAGCTTATTCATTGTTTTACAGCTGGGGGCCCTGTGACCTAAATAAAGGTCCCACACCACCAGACTCAGAGACAGCTTCATGCCTCAGGCTGAAAGACTGTTGAGCCTCTGAGCTCTAAACTCATCACTCTGGTCACTGTCACTTTACTTTACATGTCACTTTACCTTTCTTTAAAGTAAACTGTTTGCATGTGTTATGCATAAAGTGCCCCAGGAATGAGTCCTAAAACCTGGAGATGAGTCAGCACTGAGCGCTCCCTGTTCCCGCTTCTTAAAGTTAGTGGGGTTTTTTAAATGGGTTTTTGGTTGTTTGGATGGTTTTAAGATGCCTGCATTTATTTTCTATACTGCTGTTCGCTTTGGCAATTTCTTTGCATTGCCCTGTACCTAATGAATGTGATTGTTGCCACAGATGTCCTACACATTCTCAATAAGAATCATTAAAAGGAAAAAGTGTACCTCTGAAGGATGTCATCAATTGAAAATGATCTTTATTAGCCACACTTATACAATCTGTGTTAGAAGTGCCTTCAGTCTGCAGCACAAACCTTTTTATTTTTAAATTATTTTTATTTCACATTTCCTTGTGAACATAGAGACGATGGTATGAGAGAACATAACAGAAGAAGAGAGAATAAGGAACAACGAAGAGATAGATTGACAATGCCAGGGGTTACAATCAAATTGTGATACAGACATATAAAAAAATATGCAATAAAATTATACCAAAAATAAATTAACACTATAATATAACCATAAACTTGGAGCACACATTTAGGGTTTTCACAGCTTTTCTATTGCTTGAGGTATATAAAGTCCTGATGTAAGATTCTGCTTCTCTTTTGAGGGTACGGAAAAAAGGGTTTGATTGATAATACCTTACATTTATGGATATAAAACTTAGCCAGCAATATGATGAGATTACACAAAAATAAACTCATTTTCTAGGTCTTTCCTATAACATGTAAACCCAAACAGTACATCCTTAAAGCAAAGTACAAAAACATCACAGATATACACCAATCAGCCAAAACATTAAAACCACTGACAGGTGAAGTGAATAACTCTGATTATTTTGTTCCAATGCATTGTTCTGCTGCGAAGCCTTTGGTTCTGGCATTCATGTGGATACCACCTGACATGTTCCACCCACTCAAACACCGTTGCAGACCCCTTCATGGCAACAGAACTCCCCAATGGCAGTGGCCCCCCTAGCAGAAAAAAGCAGCATGCCATACTACAAAAACTGTTTGAAATGGCCTGTGGAGCGTGACAAAAAGCTCAAGGTGTCGACCTGGCTTCTAAATTTCACAGGTCCCATTCTGCTCAAGGATTCTTGTGATGTGCCAGTACCCCAGATGTACCCTTAATCCAAGGTGGGGCCCCCTTGGATTGCACTTGGCTGTCCTGCTGTGTCTGGCACCAGAGCATTGGCGGCAGATCCATTTAGTCTAGTGGGTTGTTAATGGCACATGCCACAGATGCTCATTCAGATTAGGATCTGAGGAATTTGGAGGCCAGGTTGACACCTTGAGGTCTTTGTCACATTCCTTGGGCCATTCCTGAGCGATGTTTGCAGTGTGGCATGGTGCATTATCCTGCTGGGGGGGCACTGCCATTGGGGAGTACTGTTGCCATGGGGGGGGTACTTGGTCTAGTGTTGTGTCGTTCGCGAACAAATTGTTCAAAAGAACGAATCTGTTGAGTGAATGTACTGAAGTGAATCACTTCCGGAACTGATTAGTTCATTTCTTAGTTCAGTTTAGCTCAGTAGTGAGCGTGCAGGCTGGGAGTGGAACTGCTGTTTCGGTCCGTGCAAATGATGAATCACTCGTGAGCACTGCTCACGAGTGATTCATTGTCACATTCGCACATTCACACGTTCGCATGGACCGAATCAGCAGTTCCACTCCCAATAACGCTGTTAGTTGTGGCAGTAACTAATACTTAGTTAGTTTTTAAATTCAGTAACTCGGTTACCGTTACCAAACAGTGCGTTACTCCGTTATTTTTGGCCAGGTTTTAAAACGGCACGCAGCATGCACTTGGGTCATCTACAACCAGGACGTACTCAGAGTATAGATGACACTAGTGCATGTGCAACAAGGTCGAGCCAAGACAAGAGTCCTAAGTCGATTTTTTTGGGGGGGAGTAACTAAAAAGTTACTTTTCTCAGTAACGCATTACTTTTTGGTTTAAGTAACTGAGTTACTAACTGAGTTACTTTTTAATGAAGTAACTCGTAACGGTAACTAGTTACTATTTTTCTGTAACTAGCACAACACTGCTTGTGAGTTGCAAGGCAGCCAGGGTGCAGGGAGGGACTGCCTACCGCGTGACGAATCACTTGGTGAACGAATCACTCGGTGAACGGCGGAACCCCGATCCCTGAGTGATTCAAATCATTTCTTCTCAGCAATACACTTTCATAGGTACCGTTTTCTCCAAGCTAACGGCTAATGTAGCCAGGAGTCGAGCCACATGAACACAATCACACACCTCCCCATTGTTTTAACAGACTTAGTTTCCAGATAAACAAACATAAAATGTTAGGCTGGCCAGTAATGACACTCAGCACTCCTGGAAGCCGTGAACTGAATTGAATCATGAATCGTTCAGCCGTGTATCAGTTCAGTGAGTCGGACTAGGCAGTACACAGTCAGGGCTCCTCCTGCCAGGCAGTGAACGATTCAGTGAATGAATCTTTTTAATGAACTGATTCTAGTGCTTCAGTAACATCTAAAGAACAGCTTTGCCCATCACTAACTTGGTCTGCAACGGTGTTTGAGTAGGTGTCAGATGATCGCCAGAACCAAATGTGTCCCAGCAGAACAATGCATTGGAACAAAATAATCAAAGTTACCCAATTCATCTGTCAGTGGTTTTAATGTTTTGGCTGATTGGGCGGCAGTAGCTCAGTCCATAGGGACCTGGGTTGGGAACCAGAGGGTCGCCTGTTCAAGTCCCTGTCCAGAACAAAATATCAGGGAAGCGACTGGTAGCTGAAGAGGTACCAATTCACCTCCTGGGCACTGCCGAGGTGCCCTTGAGCAAGGTACCGAACCCCCCAACTGCTTGAGCGCCTGTCATGGGCAGCCCCACTCTGACATCTCTCCATTTAGTGCATGTATAGGTCCTGTTTGTGCGTGTGTGTGTTCAGACCTGTGTGTAATTGACAACAGAGTGAAAAAAACTGAATTTCCCCTGAAGGATTAATAAGATTAAATTAAATGATTAATTAAATCAAAAATATATCCTCCTGAGACTTGTACTTTTGTTTGGTATGCATTTTTAATTTCTTCTAGCTATTTGGGATTAGTTGGACCTGATAAGTATGAAACACTAAACACTGTCAACAAAAATAAAGTCCTAATGTCCTCAACCAAGACAATAATCAACTCCCAATGTCTTTCAGCGAGCTGATGATAAATTCCTAGTGTCTTCAAAGAAGTGCTTTCTAATTAACAGTGTCTTAGCTTGTTATTGTTGCTAAAAGTGGTCACATTTGTTTTAAAATACACACATTATTAATCATAAACGAAGTAGTACCTGAGTTTGGGGTGTCTGCAGCACAGACCGTTGTTTAATCACCTGTTGCAGTGAACGTTACTCACCGGAGCTCTGTGATTGGTCAGCGGGTGACTGCTAAACCCCGCCCCCCAACTGCCACCGCAACTCGGCGGAGTCAGCAGCACCCAGCCATCCAGCGGCAACTTTTCGGGCAAATCATCAACCCAAGGTAAGCAAAATAACCCCGTTACTTCTAATATGAATCTCTCACGTATCGACACGTTTGACATTTTGTCTTCTGTGCGGCGTGTGTCGGTGACAGGCTCAGGAACAGCCCGAAAATGAGTCACTTCAAGGAGCGCTTTGTGACTCTGCTCCATGAGAAGAACTTTGTGACGGATCAGTTGGCGACGCTGGAGCAAAAAACAGGAGTGAAGAGAGAGTACATCACCGTGGGTATGTTACAAAAAGACAAAAGAGGACACAGATACACTTTATGTCATGCTTGTGTGTACTTTTAAAGTGCTGGACTTGGTAGTGGACTTGCTTTGGCGGGTTTAACATCTCCTCGAAACACTCTTCTTCATGTTAAAGTAGCAAGCAAGCCAACTTTAGCTAGCTTAGTTTAGCTAGGTTGCTACTCAGTAACTGGCAGCCGGTTGTGGGCACACTGTTGCGTGAGTGCTTGTCTTCTCAGTGTGGTTTCACTTCCTGTGGCACTGATAGCTACCTCATTTTATTACCCTTCTCATGCTCGAATACCAAAGTTCATCCTGCTCAAACCTTTATGCTTCACTACAAGATTAGGGTTGCTATAAAACCATAATCCACCTCACACACACACGCACACACACACATACACACACACACACCTATTTCAATACATTTCTATTGGAATGAACTGCCTCTTGTAACCCACCAGCAGCTGGCCTCAGGGGTATTTTTATCACGTCCTGAAATATCCAGTGCAATGCATAGATGGAAGGGGATTCTAGGATGACTGGTTATTCAACTGCAGGCTGCTGTCAGTTAGCTTTTGGGATTTGTGTTTTGACACAGCTCTGTTGACAGTTTGCACAGTGCAAGTCAATAAAGGCCAGACCAGCACCTCAGGCTATGTAGTCAACATTTGTCTGATATGCCGCATAATTACAGGAAACATGTTGGCCGGGATGACCTACATTCAAAACCACTGTGTTTACTCAAAATTGATCTCCACACACATTTGTTCACAAAACAACATAGACCAATTTCAAGGTCACAGCAGATGTGGACGAAGGCGGTGTGTGTAGAATGTGTTGTCAGTGTTTGTTGTTTGCAAATAGCCCTGAGGAGTTTTTGTTTTTTCAGTTTCTAGCTTGACTGATATTTGATTTTAGCGGCCAGTATTGATAGTTGAAAGATTTAAAGCTGATATATGAGCAGATATTTATTTCTAACACACAGCATTTCAGATGAGGATTGCTTGGTAACTCACCTGGCAAAGCATGTTCCATTAAACACACATTTTCTCACTACCAAGTGAGCTACCTTTACCTGGTAGCTCACTTGGTATAGCACGCACCACTAACGCTCAGTCCTTAACAAAGCAGCCCTGGTTCAGTTCCAGCTGTGGCCCTTTGCTACATGTCATTCCCCCTGTCTACCCTGCCTCTGTTCAGCTTTCTCCATCCAATACAGACAGAATGCTCCACTACAATAAGCTTTACCAAAAACAAAACGATTTGTAAGGATCCTTTAAATTTGATTTGCACTAGGTTGAGACATTAGACAACTGAAAAGCACCTTTCTAACTTGTCACAGGTGGACAAACTATGTAAGTAAAACACACTGTCAATACTAGAGCTGAAATGATCCATCCACTAATTGATAAGTTGATTGACAGGCAACAATTTTGAAAATGGATTCATCATTTGAGAAAAATAACAGGCAAAAAACGACAACCATTCATCCAAGACTTGCTGCTTTACGCTGTTTTTCATGATTGCAAATTGACTATCTTTGGGATTTGGACTGCTTGTTGGACAAATTATGACATTCAGAGACGTCAGCTTGGACCCTGGTGAACCACAAATTATATTTTCGCTGTCTTCTGACATTTTGTAGAACAAACAATGAATCAGAAAAATAATTGGCAGGCCAGACAATAATGAAAATAGACGTTTGTTGCAGCCACACTCCAGACTACCCCAAACATATCTCTGGTATTTGTGTTCTTCAATTTCTTGGTGCTTATCAGCCAACATTTCCTGTGATACAGATGTGTCTGCGACACTTCACCCTCTGAAGTATGGCTGAGACATAATGCACTCTCAGGATTAATAAAATGATCATGAGATCAGAAAATGTAAATTTAACAGATGCAGTTGGTGTCAGATAAAGCTCAGTCAATGTACTTGTCTTGTCTTTTTTCCACACACACACACACACACACACACCACCAAACTGGCTTGCAAAACAAATATTGAGGATTGTATGCAAATATCACTTGACTCCTCTCTACCCTGCATTTAGCAGAAAGAAGAGCCACACAGAGCAGCCAAATTACACCTTGACCTGTCCAATTTGCAGAAGTGCCCAGTTAGTGTCGTGTTAGCTTGGTAGTAAGGCAACAGACATTCATTTGATACCTTGGCCACATTGCAGGCTTGTTACAAACATGTACACAGATAATTAGTAGCATACAAGACATTCCTTCCTGTTGCCTCACTAAAATGTAATGTTGTAGTTTGCCTTGATCCCAGCATGTCAGTGGAACAGAGTTACAAAACAGCGTCCCTTAAACAGTCCTCTGTTAAGCTGAGAAACGTCTCAAGTTCATGCTGACTCTTGTGACACTCTCAAGTGGGAAGACTAATGTGCTGACTGGAGTAGAGAGGTCTCTCTGTACTGTGTGTGTGCAGCCGGACTCACTGAGTGAGCAGCCGTTGTTCGTTAGCTTCATGTTTTTAAAGCCAACTTCAGCCCCTCACCCACTGTACTCTTAACAATAGGTTTTTGTGATGATTTGATGCGAAGAGGAACTGGAGTTACAGCTGAAATACAACTCCTGCAACTCTAATGAGTAGTTTGAGTCATAGATTACATGGTTACACAACAGGGTAGGGGCTCCTCTGCCCAGTTTTTCAACTACAAGGACATGTGTTTTCATTTATGGCTGTAAAATCTGTGTCGGGTCACATGGATGCATTGTTCACTTTCTTAGGGCAGTTCAGGAGTTGCTTACTCACAGTACAGAGCCAGATGGATCCTGCAGTCAGCTTTGTATTATTCATCATTGACTTATTAAAAATGTCACTTTATGATTTCCCTTTTGGGAGTGTTGCTGTGCAGACTGTAGTGTCTAGTGTCAGCCTTTGTCTCTAAGGGGTCTTCCATTTCAACCAGCTCGTCCAGTTTTCCCTTCATTGGAGAGAGATGGGCAGACTGGGAATTGCATGGACATTTGTATATGAGCTGGGACAAACAAATGAGATGTAAAGAGCAGGCAATGGTTAGAACAGAGTCAAAGGCTTTTAGTGCTCGGAGTGCCGTGTGACCTCATTATGCCTGTGGCATTTCTGGAAGTTAAATTTTATATCAACAGTTGAGCTTTGCATAAATTTGATTCATACAAGGTATTACTTGTATCTAAAGCTGCTTGAGGGTTAGACGTCATTCCCCTAGTCCTGTTTTACCTTCAAGGGTCAGTGTGTAAGTTTAAGGGAGATGTAGTGGCATCTAGTGGTGAGGATTGCAAATTGCAACAAGCTTTTGTAATTGCAGACGTCTCCCGATTAGAATTCCTTAAGTTTTAATTGTTCAGGAAGTTTTTACCAGGAGCTGAAGAGGTCTGTTTCTCTCCAGAATAAACGGACCAGGTAATTAAAACTGGTTAAATCTAGGGATGGGCATCAATTTTCGATTATCGATGATTGATTGTTAAGGCTTTTGATCGATGACAAATAATTTTGATCGATAGTCGCAGTGTTTCCCCTACAATGCCTGGCATAGGTCTGGCGAGCCGCCGTGCCAACGAGCCCCACCGCCCGGCGAGCACGGCGGCTCAACGGGCCTACAAGACTCCCGCTGGACCTATGCCAGGCAAAAAATCAGAAACAGACGGAGGCTCTCATCAGTCTCCAAAGCCTCAGCGGCTTCCCTTGAGGCCTCTGAAAACACTACGCCACTGAAAGACGGAGGTTTTGCTGAAAACTGAAGCCTGTAACTCTGGCTGGCAACGGTTGTAAACACCCAGGGGTGAACTGCGCATACACGCCATTCTTCCTCTTTGGCCTGGGGGGTTGAAGCTCAAAACTGGGGCAGCTGCGCTCTCTTGCGGCGACAGTCTGCACTGCACTCTTTTGTTTTCTCTCTTTTGAAATACTCGCTTATCAATTAATCGATAATTGATCATTAATTTTTTTGATGATCGAATAATGAATTTTGATCGTTTGCCCATCCCTAGTTAAAACACAGAATAAAGTAATTTCACGTTTGCCCAGTGCCTGCTATATGTGCTTTAGGGCTGCCCCCTAATAGTCGACCAAACGTTCGCCGACCAGAAAGCTCATTAGTTGACAAGATTTCATTGTTCGCTTAGTTGCAGGGGAAAAAAAGTGAAACTCTATTTGGAGCTGCACCTTGTCAAAATAAATCAAAACCTATTTGAAAGGACAGACACAGGAAGGGGCCACGCTCAGCAGTCAGACAGGAGTCACGTTACAAACCAATCACAGCCGACAGATATCTTTCCCTTCTTCCAAAAAGTTGATCATGTTAGTGCAGGGCTACCCAGAGCTTTACACCTGTCCCACAAACAATAGGCCTACACACTTATAAACAGCGCCTGGAAGAAGATCGGGAAGTAGCTTGAAGTAGCTACATGCCCATTATCCCACAGTGTCATTAACAGGCGGCTCGCTCAGTGTGTGATGTGCACTTGTAGATAAAATATAGCCCTATATTAATGAAGGTTCATTAGTACGGTTTTGTATTTCTCTGTAATGTAGCACAGTGTTAACAATGTTACTGATACTATTCTTTCTCACACCTTCAACTCAAACCATTGTGTTGCCCCGCCCAAAATATATCATTTAATAATTAATTTAATATCGTAAACATGCAGGCGACTAGTCGACTAATGGCCCCAAATGATGACTGTTGGTCGACTAGGAAGATTCTTAGTCGGGGGCAGCCCTAATGTGCTTACCTTTTTTCTCTGATAACTTATTGTGTGCTCACCTGATTCTGTTCAGGAGATTTTTACTGGGAGCTGAATCATTAGCAGAGGTCTCTTCCTCTCCAAAACAAACAAACAAACATTGTATTCAAAACCAGTATAAACACTGTATAAACCAGTTTCGCGTTTTAAAAAAGTCAGTGTTTTTCCAACGCTGCTCGTCACGGAGGGCCTGCTTACTGCGGTGGCTGACATAGAAACGCAAATGGCCCTATCCAAAGCCAATGTTTGGTTTGTATATATAAACGGCTCAATCTCTAAGTCAACAAAAATGCAACGGTTACTATTTTTAGGTGACTAAGAAAACATTCTTAATATATTAGATTCCATTTCTGTTTATATATCCTCCTAAATCCTACTCACTGGACCTTGTAATCTGTCAATAGATTTGCTCGACAACAGAGTTCCCTGAAAAAGGTTTGTTTTGTAGGCCTGGGAGTGATTCGAAGAAGGAAACTATAATTAAATGTTAAGAAAAGCACGCATTTTGAAACATGGTACTTTTTGAAAATACAAAGCAAGAGAAACTTGCAGAAATCAATAACTAATGGAAGAAGTGAGTTGGCCAAAATGCCTGCTAAGACTGCAGTTTATTTGCTTTAAAGTCAGCATCTTGCTGCCAGCTAACCAGCAAGCTGTTTAAGCCTCTGAGGGATTAAGCAGCGCAGCCAACTTACTGCTGTTAAGAGCAAGCAGCATACAGTTCAGTTCATACAGAGCTGATTGTACTGCAGAATTTCTTTGACGAGTTTGTGTGTAGTTCGTGTCAAAACCCTGTCAGGTGAAACATCTTGCATTCACAGTGCCCTCTTAATTAGTTACATCTGTACAGTTCATTTAGAGGAAAAGTTGAAATTCAGTTATGTTTAGTCATAGTTAAAGGTGGTGCTGTGCTGGACTGCATTACAATGTGACGTCTTTCTAACTTTTTAGCCCTCACTATTTGCACAAGAACATCAGACACACCTCTAAATGTAATGCAGCCCAATGCACCATCACTATGTTGTCTTTGCTAAAATATACAATTTAATTAACACGTCTGTGACAGTGTCAACAAAAACTGAACATTCACGGAGTGTATATTTTGCTTTGCACGTGTGCAAATGAAACAAAGGCTGCAACTATTCACTTCATTATCGACAAATTGCAAAGAGAAGAGCCCAAGGTGAGATCTTCAAATTGTTTTTATCTGACCAACAATACAAGTCCCAAAAATATTCAGATTACTATTTTATATGACAAAGAAAAGCTTCAAATGCAGCATTTCTGATTGAAAAATGACTGTAATGAAATAACTATCAAAATGATTTCAGATTGATTGAATAAATCGATTCATCGACCTTGCATTTCAGCTCTAAATGAAACTATTACTCTAAGTACTGCAAACGTTTATACATTATATGTGGAAAGCCGTCTGCTTGCAAAGGCATCTAGTAAGATTGCTTTGTACGCTGCACACACACACTGTAATGGTAATGCAAATTTGAAGTTATTAAAAAAAAAACACTGGCATTTGTGGAATCTGTCACATCCTCTTGGTGTGCAAAGGCCTGGCTGTTTCACATGACTGTGAGCTTTGCAGTGTATTATAAGTCAACTCTCCCACTGGCTGAATTTGAGTACAGTGTTTGACTTGTGTTTCTTTGCTCCTCCTGATCCTGGTGCAGTGCAATCCTGACATCCTGCTATCATACACACACACACACACACACACACACACACACACACACACACACACTGTTGACAACAAATTTATGGTGTTTGACATTAGACGTATTTGTCAAGTAAATTGATAACGTCACCCTCCTCTTCCTGTCCCGCCCTCTGCTCTCACATCACCGCCGCCTCTCATCTTTCTCCCCCCTGCAGGTGTCCTGAGTCTGATCGGGCTGTACCTTCTGTTTGGATATGGAGCCTCACTGCTCTGCAACCTGATTGGCTTTGTCTACCCAGCATATTTCTCGTATGTATGACATCAAGCTTATTTCAATGCCAAATGAAAATAAATGCATTTAGAATATGCAAAGGGTAATAAACTTACTATTATTTCTTTACTTTATAGACAGTTATTTTCATACAAGTGCCAACCAGCACACATTTTGATTTTTTTTCACCGTTTAATCAAAGGTTTAGAGACAAAGCACGTTTATGTCCTGCCCCCACAGGAGGGGAAGACAATTCAATGCTCTCCGTTGACTTTGTATTGTGTGAAGGTGCCCCACTTGTCATTAGCTCCCACTAGCAAACACACAAAAAATGCCTAAAAGCTGCTTTGTGGTGAGATGCGCTACCAACATGGGTAAAAATCCATAACTGAGTTTTTACAAGCTGCTAAACCAAAAAAATGAAGCTTTTAAGCAAAAAGATGTGAGGCATCAGCAGGAAGATAAAGGAAAACTATAGGATCCTAACACTCCGTATGCCTACGTGCCGCAAGCATTTTGCTGATTAGGCCAGACGGACTGTAGAGGTTGAAGCTAACTAAGCTGTGTAATGCCTGGTTTTGATCTTCGTTAGCTTAAATGATGATCGTCCCATTCACTTAATCAAATAGAATTGAATATTAAAGTATGTCACCACTGGACATTCAGTGGGATCGTGTCTCCAAGACAAGCAAGGTAAGGTGAGGGGACGCTGAGATAGACCGACAATGTTTGTCAATGTAACTTTTCCTCTCTGTTAAACACAAGGTGCTAAGATGGTCGTTTGACATGCTAAAATCTATTGTTTTAAGTAGCTGCAGACATTTTGTTAGCTTTTCAGCCCTTGTTTGCATATTGTGGCACCAGTTGTTTTCCCCTCCAGTGGGCATGGAGTGTGACTCGTTGCGCTCTGTCTCTGTGCACAATACCAAAGGTTCGGAGCTGACACATATAAATGGAATGCAGCTATTGTTAATAATTAAATCTCATTAACTACACCTGTGCTTGTCCTGCTATGGTATGTTATAATATGTTCCTTTTAAAAAAGGCCTGTATTACAGCTGAAAATGGATCAAACATCTAATTTATTTTCTGACATGGATGTTTCTTTTTAAACCATGAGACAATCTCTGTTTTCAATTGTTTTTTTCCCCATGTTCAAGTAAAAGTTAGAAGATAAGTGAAGTCTCTATCTTAATACTCACATGCCCATTTGTACATTGAACAATTTACTTGTCACTGCAATCATTCATCCACTCCTTACAGGCCATAAAGTGGTCTTTTCCTACTGGTCTTTTTTAGTAGACAGTTCTCTTTTTGTGTTACAACACAGCAAACAGAGACTTTTTTTTTTAACTTAAAAGACTGCAACTGTGGAAATTCCCCTCTTGATGTGGCTAACTTTGATTACGGACGCTTCATATTAGCTTTAGCTGAACTTCTGAATCCATTTTCGCACAGAACAAGACTGTGGATTTTTCTAACCCATCATCACTAAAATTGGAAAGCCTTTGTTGATTTATAT